AAGAACTAAGGACTTCCAGAAGAACAAACACATCTCCCTGAGAAGAATAGCCCATAATGAACAGAACTGAGAGCCTTGTAACACTTGCCCCAGTGGAGCAAAGTTCAGCCTAAAAGACTGCGTGGCTAAGAGGTTGAGAGCTCAAAAGAATTCTTTCTTGAACTGAACAGAGGTCAGGCAATCATGTAGTCGGAGAGAGACTTGCTTGTAATCATAGCTAGAAAGAAGCTGTCATTACTGAAGAACTGTTTCCTGTGTGCTCCTGACCCTAAATTATAACCCATTCTTGCCCTAATAAACCTCAGGATCATGAATATATTCTGATGCAACACACTGAGAAATAGAGAAAGCCATGGGAAGGGTGGTTGGTGTCAGAATTGGTGGGGGAACAAAAGGGTTGAAGAATAGAGACATGAATACATAACCTCAGCCACAAAGGAATAAACAACAGATATTCACTGCGCTTCCATCCTGGTAAAGCTAGAGGTCACTTGCCACCCTGTGCCATGTTTACTATAATTTCCTAACTTTAAAAGCCAGAACAGTAGCAAGTGTTGAAAGACTTTGAAAATCTTTTTCTATGTCCAGGGCTTTTCAGAATATGTTGTTGGTGGTGTTAGGTGCCATCCAGTGGAATGGCTGTGTGGCACCCACTCTTTACCAGGACAGGTAGTGGCCTCTTCCTCACTTTGTTCTCCTGACCTGTTATGAAAAAGAACCAGGCTACTCTACTGGAAAGTGACCTTGAAACTGAAATAAATTAATTTGGTCTTCCCAGATCTTATCATTCATCTTCCAGCTTCAATTCTATCACAAAGTGCATATTTTCCAAGCACCGGGCCTTCTTTTTTGTTTTCAACTTTCACATTCTAATCACCAATAATCATCAATGCATCTTGATTGCATGTTTGATCAATTTCTGGTTAAAGATGTTCATAGCTACTTCATATCTTCACCTCTAGCTTTTGTGATTGATGCATAAATTTGATTAATATTTGTATTGATTGTATTTCTTTGAAGGCAGATAGATAGCATTTTATCACAGACAGCACTGTACTTCAGGGTTGATTTTGCCAGGTCATTTTTGACAATAAACGCAATACCATCTTCTTGATTGTCATTCCTGGCATAGTAAATCATGTGATTCTCTGATTCCAAATGGCCAATACCAGGCCATTTCAGCTCACTAATGCCTAGGATATCGATATTTATGAGTTTCATTTCACTTTTGATCACTTCCAAATTTCCTAGATCCATACTTCGTACATTCCAAATTCCAATCATGAGCAGATTTTTGCAGCTGTTTCTTCTTACCTTGAGCTGTACCCCACTACCAAATGAAGATTTCAAAGGCTATCCTCCCACAGGCTTGACCTGGCTCATGTGACCATGGTTGGGGTAACTCTGAGAAATCTGCCCTTTTCAGTCACATTTTGAGGGCCCTGCACCACGAGGGCCCCTCCTCCCCCACTATATCTGCCAATGTTCTGCTCCCATTCACGAGGCCCTTGGTAGCTGAAGTGGCTCCCTTCTCTGAAGTGGGGAGCCATGCCCTTCTTTATTGTCTGGGTTACATATTTTGTTTATTCTCTTTTACTCCAAGAATGACAAGTATCTATTTAAAGAAGGCTGCAATAATTTCCTAAATCAGTCAATTAAATAAGCAGAGAACCTCAGTTCCACGCAGAAAACAAGTTATTTGCAGATGTTTGCCCTGTTGAGTCATCAGAGTTTGGATTTTGTCTAAAGTTGAATTAATTTACAATCTGTAGTTCATGTTCCATGTTTCTCATCGGAGTATATTGGACAACCAAGATGAGTGTCTCTACATTTAAAATAATACTCAGAAAGGGAATTTGAAATATTATCATATAAAATATATAATCAAGCTTTCTCTTTGATCCGTGCAAAACCTAAAATTTTGGTATAGTTTTACATTCCCCCAATACCTAATTACTCCCAAGGGAACCCATTTAAAATGTATTGCCCAAATTAATTGCCTTGAAGATTCACGTTTTTTTCCTTTCTCCACAGAGGATTTATTATATTCTCCTCAAAAACAAAATTTTCAAAAACACATAAAAAGGATCTGCTCCTTTGGAAAAAGCTTTTGGGAAGAATTGCTCTAATCAGCAGTATCAGAATATCATGAAATGCATGGCGTTTAAATATAAGGAAAATATTTTTGAAAATATACTGATTTGATTTTTCTATTCTCACTGACTCAGTATTTAAAACAAGGAGGGCTCTTCACAAATGTATTAAATGTTAAATATTGTCAGTGCAAAAGTGCATATATTTGACAAGCATTGTAAATATGAAGGAAAAAGACTCTTATATCTAAAATATTATGCTTCCTGAATCAGAGGTATTCAGCAGAATATTTCCTTTAAACTAGACCTCAAATACATCCAGGACAATCAGAAAAGTAAGTATGCTTTTTTTTCCATCCATATTATTAGTTCATCTTTCCAAAGTCATAAAACTCTTAACAATCGCGGTTTTCGTTGCACCACATGGGCACTTGGCAATGTTTGCATGATTTTATCTGTCCACAGCTTTCTGAATTTGTCACAAGTGAGGTAAGACATGAATCACATCTGCCTCGACAGGATGTCAGGTTGTATTTCCTTAGCCAGACCTCATCTGGCATAATTTTCTGCAACCATTATCAGACTCACTCCATTGTTCCTCTAATCCTTTTTGAATGCCCCAAACTTTGACTCTGTTCAATAAATAGATGATTCTCATGGTCACTCAATAATTAGAGACTGTTCCTCTCTTTCTAGGACTTGTGGCAACAGACGGTGCTGAATTACCAGATAAAAATCTTTAAGGATGATGTTCACTGGGGTTGTAAAATTCTCATTACCTAAACTTTCCATCATTGACACACCTCATATCTCGTATCTATATATCAATCAAACCTGATTATTTCAGAATTGCTGATACATAATTATAGAAGCAACTTCACACAGCTAAAACAAACCTCTGAATCTTGAAACCAGTTTTAATCTGGGTTGATTATAGTTTCTGCAATTTTTTATTCATTTTCCTGTCATTGCATAAAATTGCAGTTATATCATATTAAGTATATTGAGTACTGAAAATGTTTTACTAAAAGGCAGGCATGACCCCCTCTCTGTTATATGAGAAGCTTCCAAAAGTTCACAGAAAAATTCCATTATGTTTCAAGTCAATTTTTCCCCTGAACTTTTTAAAGCCCCATCATAAACAATGTGATCTTGGGCAAGTTAATTTTGCAACTCTGTACTGCAATTTATTTATGTGCTAGATGAGTCTCTTAATAAGGCTTAACCAGAGAATCACTGGGCACAGAATGATGGCTCTATAGTTCTGAGCTATATAGCATGATAAACTTATTGTATTTTATATTGTATAA